AGTCTGTTTATAATTTGAAAGGTAATCTTGTCAGTTGTATATACAAAAGGTAAATTGTTTACAAAATGAGTCTTTGTTTATTATCTGATAAATGTATACTTTTTTCGTCAATTGTTCATGATTGCAGATGCCTTTTGTGTAAAATCCAAGTCGGATGTATGTAAGCTAATAAATGTTCTCGTTAATCTTATCTCGCCTTTTGGTTCGTTCACGGTTACAAGAAATCATCACATAGAGTCTCTCGAGTCTCCGTAGATATAACAAACAGAAATAAATCACACAAAATAAATTGTAGCTATGCGTCGATTCCGCGCGACACGTCCGAACACGTAAGCTGAACAATAGTGTGGGGGGAGTGAATAATCAAGAGTTGCGTGGCGCTCAAACAAAAGACGAATGGACGAGATTTGAAAATCGCGTAACTCCTGGTTCGCGTAAGTCAGGGTATTACTGTATTCTAGGACATTCGGCACTCTTGCTACTTTAATTACTAGAAAATCGATTGACAGCCGGATTACCGAGACGGTTAAGGCTATTAACCTACCGCTCCGAAGCAGTGGCGGCCCGCCCCGGGCGGCACTTTTAAGTGGCGGCAAAATTTCACAATAAATAATAATATTATCTTGTAAAAATTTGAACCATTTCATTTCATATTTTTGTCGCACCTATGATTCGGACAATCAATCAATCAATCTTTATTAAACATATGTGGTTACATACATTCTCGGTTCCGCATTAGCATAGCCGAGATAAATACAACATGAATGATGATTACATAGATTACATAATGATAAATTTTGACAATAACAATGAAATAAATATAGTATAATAAAATTAAATAATTAATTAAGATTAGGATTATACCTAAATTGCAGTAGTGACAAAGCAAAGATAGAAAATATGTACAAACATAATATGTGCATATGGATACAAGAAAGAAAGGCAGCAGGGAGCTGCAGAAAATTTGCACAATGTAAAGTGGTCCAGTTGATGTGTATACAAAAATAAAAAGAATAAGGAACATGTGTGAAGGTGATTAAATACAATAAATGGTCGTGAATTATTGACAGAGAGTATATGGCAGCGATAAGCGCCTTTGATACAGAGAACACCTGGAGAGTTGCTTGAGAAATTATAGTCCAGTGTAGAGAGGTCTTTTCTAGTCTCTGGTAACAAGAGGAGCAATCGCCTCATGTCTTTTAATGAGATTACTGAAGGCTTCATACAGTTCTTTATTCTTTAGTAAATCATTGTGTTCACATGGCCAGTGGATGTTCCTACTTCCAGCAGCGAGTTCGATGGCCAGATGCTCTGCCTCCAAAGAGATGCAGTCGAAGAGATAGTGATCTGAGTTATTTGGTTTGCAGCAGATAGCACAAAGTGGTAAATTTTTGTTGGTGAACCTGTGCAAATACCTGGAGAATTTGTCGTGGTCGGTGATAAACTGAGTAAGCTGGTGGTTAGGAGTAACCCAATGGTAGCTGTAATAGTCAATAATGTTGGGAATGTACTTGAAAGCGGTGTTGTTGTGCTTTTGACTCCAGGTTGTTTGCCACCGATTAAGAAGGTCTTGGAACATGTGTTTTCTCACACCATGGTGACTAATTTTGTCATAAATAATTTCCAGATTATTGTTGCTGGCGGCTTCTTTAGCGAGCTGGTCAGCACGCTCATTTCCAGTTGTTCCATGATGTGCACGAGTCCAGGTAATATTGTACTTGTTACTGGAGTTGAAAATAGTGTTCCTAATAGCAGTTGCAATTGGATGTGGTTTATTACCCTGTATCAACTGTATTGCGGATGCAGAGTCACTAATGATGTGGATGTTATTATGGTTATAATTTTCCTCGGTCCAACTGATCGCCAAGTTAATTGCCATCAGCTCTACTTGAAAGACAGAGTAAACACAGTCTAACCTGTTCATTTGACTATATATTTCGGTCTCACTCTGGTAGGTGATAAAGGCGCAGCCGACGCCATCATTCAGTCCAGATCCATCGGTATAGATCTCAAGGTTTGGATGAGGAAGAGAGGTGGTGCCAATATAGTTGGTAATGTAAGGTGGAATGCTATCATTAGAAGGGCTTGGGTGTTCATATTTGTTGGCCTGGAAGTGATGTGTAGATGTGATGATATCAGTACCCAATCTCAAGTTCCACAGATCGCATTCCAATTTAATGACCTCGGTGATAGGAGGCTTACGTGCTATAACCTGAAGGCTGCTGTTTGGGGCAGTTCTGTATGCCTTCGTGATAAGGAGAAGAGCCTTACGCTGTGAAGAAATAAGTTTCCTGCGAAGGTGAACCTTGTTCACAGCTGCACCCCAGCTACAACACCCATAGGTGACAATGGGTATATAGATATGATCGTAAATTATACTGATCGCATCAGTACTGAGACCCCATGTTTTCCTGGCAATTTGGGAGAATGCATGGAAGATTAGGCTTGTACACTTGGCAATATACTTGATTTGTTCATCCCATGAGAGCCGAAAGTCAAACCAGATACCAAGGTATTTGACTGATTTTTTAATTTTAATAGATTGATTATTCATTTTGATGTTGAAAGTTCGCAGGTATAAATTGGGTTTGCCAGGCTTATTAAAAACGATGCCCACTGTTTTGTTCGGGTTAAAATCAAGCTTATGTTCAATGCCCCAGTGATGTATTTTATCTAGTATTTCATTATGATTCGGACATTGAAATGAGCACGGAACTTTCCATTACTTATTCTGTGAGAAACTGAATTTTACTCTTTTAATGTAAGTACTTCGAAAAGAAACAGCCTCCAACTTTTTAATAACTTATCATTCGATGAAAAATTATGCAACTCTTAAATAAACAGAAATCTTGAAAAGGCAATAACGTCTTCCTCCTACTCGGCATAATTTCACTTCCACGATTACAAAAAAATCGAAATTTTTAGCGTGAAATAAACTTTGTAAAGTTGTCAAATTGTCAACTCATTACACAATATGCTCTGTGTTTTTATGAGAGAAGACAATCAATTTCTCATCTCCTCAGTCAGGAGTTAAAAATATTTTAATACATCAATCACATGCAATAAATTAACTAAATTTAGTTTTCAAAATTCAATAATTACAAAGCCCCTTCTGCCGTCAATTTAAAGTTTTACAATCTTTAAATCGAACGTTTCCATATCCCGGGACGAAGACCCAGGAGGTGGATTTATGAAAAGCAGTGTATTGGTTATTTCATTTTGTTTAGTCATTGACCTACCTATCAAATGAAAAGTGATTGATACGTTAGTGCATGAATATGATGATCCAGTAATAGTTAAACGGTGGATATCTTCGTTTAAAATGACGATATGTCCGTGTATGAACAGTGCTTCAAAGGTGCGAATTGCTAGCAAGATATTCAGGATGGCAAGCGTGTGTCACGGACACATCTGAACATCGATGTTTGGCTGGGTATATTCGGCGCTTTCTCTTGAGGTGACTGCGCTAAACACCAAACATCTCGCTAGCAAATGCACCGAAATCTCGCTTCCGTTACTCTTCAATTGGGTGACATTGAATACCTCGCTACAACGCAATGACATCAAATAATCGCGAGCGAATGTTTCCGAAACGGTGGCTTTGTTAGCGAGATATTCAGGATGGCAAGCGTGTGTCACGGACACATCTGAACATCGATGTTTGGCTGGGTATATTCGGCGCTTTCTCCTGAGGTGACTGC